ATCAGTCCAGAACAAACACATCTAACTGGGCTAAAAAAGTGACCTTTGGGGTCCCATAGAGGTTAAAGCATTGAGGTTGTAGAGATGGATAATGGATTTGAATTAAAAAGCAAATCCAAATCTGGTAGTGAGAAAAAAATCCAATGTGAAGAATATATTGTCAAATATCAACACGGATCATGACTTTCAATGGCAGTCAGCCGCTCTGACAGCTGAGTCAACAGCAGGCTTCACAGTCCTGCTGCAACAGACACACACTATGTTCCAAAAGCAGGGCATCTCACTCATTTCCCTCTTGTACATGTTACTTTAGTTTTTTCTTTTTTTTTAAAGTAACAGCAATTTGGGAGTAAACAGAAGCTTAACCATAATATCATCTTTTAGATATTTTATTGTTTCTAAAAACTACGTATTTGTTGTCATGACAACAAAACCAATAGCATATTCATATCCAGTAAATATATAAATTAAATTACACTTCTCTATTTTCAAAGTAGATTCAATATAGTGATCCTCGGGCTAACATCTGCTAATATAAATGAATTCTCAGCAAAGATGCTCTCAGTTATGTTTTTACTCTTTTTTTTCTTTTTGTTATCAATAAATAGTCTGAAACTGAAAGTAAAATGGGCCTCATTAAGACTAAAGGTCTGAATAAGATTTTATAACCATGATGTTCGGTCCAGCCCAGCTGACTTAGGCTCCATCTATCACTGCCATGCCTTCAGCTGAATGTGCTGCTGCTACTGCAGACGGAGGTTAAACTTTCTACAGTCCACCCACAGTGCTGTGGGTGGGTTGTGCGCCTTAATGCCTGATGACAGTGGGCAGACATGACTCTAGGAACTATGGTAATGATCGGTGACTTGATGAGTCACAAGGTTAGTCTGCAAGGTTAGTTCTGCTGCGCCCTGAAAATGTTTAACTATTGCTTCTTTTTTTCACTGCAAGCTGTGCTAACCCACAGAATTCAGCATCTCATCCAAACCGTGTCTTTCTCTTCACTGAAGAAAATGGTACCAGAGTTTCCTGGCAGAAGGCAGATGAAAATGATTGGGTAACATACTTGTTCTAAGATTATCCTAATTCCACAAATAAAAGATCTTCATCCCTCAAAAGCATTTCTCCTTTTAATTCCACTAATAAAGTTGGGCAGAAATGTCACTCCTCAATCAAAGAAGCATGAATTCACAGATCAAATTTAGCCAGCAATCAAAGCATTGGTAATACATTTGATCTGAAATGACTTGGAATCAACTTTAGATATATGTTACTATTCTATTCTAATTTGAATTTTCAGAACGCATGTGCTGACGGTAGTCGTAGCTTTTCATGTCACCACAGAACATCCATGCACCACGCAGGTCAAGCAGCGGTCTTTCTGAGGGTCAGTCAGTAAAAATCAGGTGTTACATGTCTGATGATATTACATGAATTCTCTGCATGGGACGTCTAGTCAAAACTCACAGACAGCCTCTATTACTGACCTTCTTTGATTTGTCCTCACTAGTACTGCATTTTTACAGTTTTGTGTAAAACTGCTTTTGATCAGCTCAAGGATTTTGATTGTCTAAACCTGTGTAGCAACTAAAAACATTTGTGTAACAAAAACAAGAGATAATAATCTTCTGAACCGCTTGAGGAGTGTGCCTCTTGTAGCAAAAGCACCACAAACAAACAGCTCGGAGGGGGGGGGGGGGGTTAATCATTCTCTATGGGATAAGCATGTCCATGCAACCACAAGACCACTTTGAGTGACTTCAGACAACTGTTTGTACAGTTTCACAAGAGGGTTCAGCCTGTGAGTTCTGCATTAGACTTATCAAGGTAACTGTGCTGGGCGAGGTGGCTGCGCAGCTCCCACTGGGCCTCCCAGGCTCTGGGATGGGACGGCTGTTTTGACGCAGTGTAAAGGTTGTTTGGGGATGAACAAACACTGAAATGATTTTGACACAATAGGCAGGACCTGCATAGGTTCAAAGGTGAAAAAGCAAAGGGCAAATCTTGCAATTCAGTGAGAAAACGTGTTCACAGTTTTCTTTTCCGTGAAAGCAAGCATCTTATGTAGTCTACAGTTTTCTGTGTAACACAGAGGGAAGGTGCAGCTTCTAAAATGAAGTGGTTACACTTTTAAATACTCTGTTTTCCATGCTGTAGTGGGACGGTTTTCTTCAAGAAAAATGTTATCTGCACATTCAACTGCTAACTGTACCATGTATGAACAGTAATTAACTCAAGGAAACTCTAACTTAGCATTTAGAAACATCAATTTGCAAGTATTGAATTATTGCCAAATGTAATATATAATAATACAAAACTAACATAGCAAATAAATAGGAATATACTTTTTTAAAACTGGCTTTATTTGGTACAGATAGACACAAGCTCCAAATGTCCATGGGGACCAACTGTGTAGTTACAACAGTTGCAGAAACTTGTAACATCTGTTCCCACGTTGACAGCCGGACACATGTAAGTCAGCACAGTCAAGCAGCCTTCTGGCCACTCTGGAGAAATGGGCTGCTCTGAATGCCTACTACAAGCAAACTGCACGGTTTATCTGTTCATTCATACACTGACACAAACCTTCGTACTCACGTGCAGGCGCTTTTTCCTCGGAATCAGTAAGTGATGGGACTCCACAGCCAAGTTACACCGAGTGTAAACAGTCGTCAGTCAGTGTTTAATAGGTGTTGCTACTCTGCTAACCTCTCAAACACATTTACAGCCACGCTGCAGGGTTGAAGAGGAAGAGGGAAATAGATAGGTGGGCTTGTATTTATACTCTCTCGCACGCATGCACGCAGAGGTGCACTGAAACACCAGGAGCCTCCTTGGGACGGCCGGACGGGCGCTGTTAGCGTTGACACTCACTCAGTCACACAAACTCTGCCTCTCCTGCCCAGGTCCTCACAGGCGGCTAGGACTCTGAGCCTAGTTGCTAACTGTCTAAGGAGGCTAACTTAGCTAGCAGCTGGCACCGTTCTCCCCTATCTAGCGGATATAGCCGTCTGCTACTGCGCCTGCCTTCGACTTAATCTGCGAGCTCTCATCCCTCTCTGTGACGTGACGCAACCACTAACGCCCCCTGCGCCTCCAGCCAATCACAAGGCCGGGTTAGGCAGCACGCCGTCAGCGGTAGCGTTTAAAGAGCTCCGTCCCTCCGCCTCAAAATAATGCTTTAAAAACATATAGTACGCATCACAAGGCGGAGTTTTACTAAAGGGATTAAAATGAATTGTCTTGCAAATGGAAAACATGTGTTTGTTTGTTTGTTTGTTTGTTTGTTTGTTTGTTTGTTTGTTTGT